GCAACCGATCGTCACGCAAGTCAGATTCGATTTCTGACTCTTAAAACTCACACCTTCTGCATCGGCAAAGTCGTATTCGTGACTTCTCCCGACTCATAATGCTTACTTCCTCTGCATCGGCAAATGCCTGCTTAGGGGAAAAGTACTATGATTCATTATTTAAGCATACACACACGTTTCATTCTTTCGTTTTTGGATCTGATTAAGCCTAGAAAAGCAAAACGCGTAATCAAATCTAGTTTCAATTAAACGGTTTTCCATTTTTCAAAATACATATATGTAAAAACAAGTCAAAGATATTAGAAGATATTAAATCTAAGTAAGATACTGTACGCCGGGAATAATAAACAAGGATAAATGGTTAAAAAAAATACCTCTGACTTGAATATCAAAGTATTTTACAAGGGATAGTCATCTGTCTATATTTCTTAGATGAGGTATTAATTATGTACATTGTGTGAACTATTGTTCTCATCTTCTGTTGCCATATTCACAACATTTCGGCCGTTGTACGATCCGGACTTCTTCAGGTGATTGGAATTTTGAACTGAACCCTTTATTTCGTCCACGTTGTTCTAGTTCCACATGCCATGCCTCTTCCGGATATATCAGTTATCTCCCTTTAACTCAACTATTCACGTTTTTGTTCACCACTGGAGTAGCCAGGTATTGAAAAGTCACTGGATCCAACCAACGCTTTTTATCTACTGTGCATGAATTTTTGGGACTTATAAACTTAATGTCACAGTAACCTTTTTTTTTCTTTTTTTAACCAGAGCTCATATTGCAATTTTTGTTGTTATTATTTCTTTTCTCTAGTACTCTGTATTACTGGTTCCCACATTGTATTCATTTCTATGCTTGTCCAGCTTAGGAGATTTTTGTGGTCTAGAATATGTGCTGATTCCTTAAGTTTTCGTATTTTACAGTGATGTTCCAATTACCTGAAAAATGCCAGAGCGTACAGCAGCCGAAACGTTGGGAATATGGCAACAAAGATGAGAACAACAGTCCGAACAATGTAAATAGTGTAAATAGAGATAGTCATGTTGAGCCAGTACCTCTAAAACTCTGAGAGACAAAGAAAGGAACAACAGTCTTTTAGCTGGTGAATCAAAAATCAGTATTTTCCCATTTTGTGGGGTTTCTATATGATACTTCATATCTAAGAGTAGATTACTTTTGCATCTTAGTAAATTGTTCTTCTGTCATTATAACCAGTTTTGATATGCCTTGATCCAGTACCTTTCTCATATATAAGTGGATATTAAAATCAACACCTAGTGGCGACAGTCTGTTTCATGCCAGCATGCTTGAGTAAATTTAGTATGTCTAAAATTCACCCAGTCCCTCTCCAGCTCATTTAGTCCGAGGATGACATGATTAATGGTTTCTTAGATAAAATTTAAGTCAGTCAATCTGAATAAAGCTTTTCATTTTATGCTAGTAAGCTAATTCTACGTTGAATTATATGATTGATTGAGTGATTGTTTTTTGACGATTTATCAACCTTTTGCATGTTATTTAAAGCCAGAAAATATTTTTAGATCATAAAGTTTTTTGGAGATAATAATGATCTATTCATACACGTCCTACTAATTAACACATAGCTAGGGGAGAAGAGGTTGATTCATACCTTTCCCAAGGGTATTTGCATATAAGTGAATATAACGAACCTAACTTGGATTGGAACTCTGCTTTTTGATTTCAATTTCAAGCCATTACACAATGACACCAGCCGTACGTCAATGCATCTGCAATAGGGATTGGCTAGTCGCCAAAGTAGATGGGTATCCTTGAATACAAGTGACCATCAATGCTTAAAACACCTGTTATTTCCAAGTGGTCACCCATCTATGTATTAACCAGGCTTGACGTTGCTTAACTTTGGTCAATGTATGAAAACCTGTGTTTCGACATGATATGGCCACAAGCCCTGAATTAAAGGAAGGGGTTAAATTGTGTCTTCCCTCTATGCAAGCCACCAATCTGCCACTGGGTGGTATGCCACTAGCATTTACTGCTGGTGCCCCGCTGTCAAACCACCGGTGTGATCATCTCAGCAATATTAACACTGGCATTGCCATTGGAGGACGGCCAGTGGGCCACTAGCGGCTTGCATGTAGGGTTAGGCCATTTGTCAGCATCATGAGCATTTGGTTTTCAGACAATGAAGAATCTTAGGAACTAGTTAGTAATTACAAGAAATTAGTTGTATTTCAGTGTCAGGGTTGAGGCAAATTGTCAAATGTAAGGAACACGTGTTGGGTGGCAAAAGTAGAAGACACATCAACTGCCATGAAGGTCTGTATATCTAGTAGAATATGAATGAACAATGTAGAAACAATTACTACACAGCATATACCGTATATTCATAAGAGCATATTACAAGTATCAGAATTGTTTTTCTACATATCTCATGCTCCTGTTGTGCATCTCAGGATTCTTGACAAAATCCAGAGAAGCATCTGCATTACAATCGGACCTGACCAGGCATCTCATCTTCAGTCACTTTTCACTGACATTATGTGGCTTCCCTCTGTCATTTCTACAAATATTTTCATAGCAACTGCTCTGATGAGGTTTTTTTTTCACGTGGTGCCCAGTCTACATGAATTTAAGCATGCTACGAGATTGGCAACTAGGTCTCACTATTTTACTGTCGAACTAGCTAAATTCAACTGCCTCTAACAGTTTCTTTACTCACACTTCTCGGTTGTGGAATTCCCAATTTCTTACTTCCCTCTTAACTACAATGTTCAAAAGTTTAAATGCAGTGCCAATTGCCATCTTCTGTCTTCTTTTTTTTTTTTTTGCCCTTTCCCTAATCCTCTACATTTTCAATCTTCAATTTCACTCCCTGTAACTCATGCACTCTAGTGGCACTGTTGACATGCTTGGGTGAAATGATTAAAAAATATATCCTTATAATAAACAAAAATGTTGTCCTGGTTAGTGTTGTCATTCTAGCATGTTGCGGGGAGGGAAGAGAGAAAGAGAATGAAGACAGGGAGTGTCCAGTTTTTATAGGTGCTTGACAGTGAAACCTAATGACTTCTTGCCGAAAGTAGCGAAGACAAGACACTTTCAAATGGTTATTTAGATTCCTTCAATAATCTTTTGTTGAGATAAAGTCTTTGGATAGTTGGTTCACAGAAAAAAGATTCAATATTTTGGGGGTCCCTACTGAAGACCATTCACATCCAGAGATGACATGTAACACATTTTATATCAGTGCTAGATTAGACAGAATGTTGCTGAAAATGTGATGGCATGATGCCAGGTAGAGTACAAATGGTAATTATAAATGGTATGATGGTAGGCAAGTGTATTTGTCTAGTTTTCACACGTCTGCACATTAAGAGTGCTCTCTCAACTGATAAAAAGCTGGTGTTATATAGTGCTCTCAGTCCCAGACCCACACTGACTATTGGCTAATACTTACAGTATTGTTCATATGCAAAGTCAGTTCCACCTACTCTAAGTAGAAAATCTTCTCTCAACAGCCAATTGTGGAAGGGGACATAACTCCTGGTACTTACAACACCACATGCATCCAAACTCTGAGTATCTTATTGGGTTCACCTGATTCTCAGTTACAGTAGTGTACAAATGGTAATTATGGATGGTATGAAGGTAGGTAATGATAATTATAAATGGTATGATAGCAGACAGGGTACAAATGGTAATTATGGAGGGTATGATGGTTGGTGGGATACAAATGAAATTATGGATGGCATGACAGTAGATATTTACTCAGCCTCCCACGAGGTCAGGTTGTGACACAAGGTCAGTTTAATGTGGGGAGCCCGAGCACGTGCACCCGAGCAAGGAACAAAAATTTCCCAAGCCCCCGCAACCGATGGTTGCACTGGCCTTGGTGCGTGCACTGATCCTTCTCTCTAGTGCAATGAGAAGGCGCGGCCTCGGGCAGCTGTTTCCCAGGGCCTGCACCTCTCAGTATGATTTTCTCAGTTGCCCCTCTGTCCTTTGACAGAGAAGCCCCTAAGTGCACTCTGTCCAAGGACAGAGATGCAACTGAGAGATGACAAGTAGATGTGAAATTACTCAGGAAGAGTAATTTACACTGGATGGTATGACAGGTTACAAATGGTAATTATGAATGGCATGATGGTAAATCATGTACAAATTATAATTTAGATGGTATGATGGTAGGCTGAGTATGAATGGTAATTATAGATGGCATGGTGGTACGCTAAGTACAAATAAAGAGAAACAAACTTGGGGAGTAAAAAAAGTATAAAAAAGAAAAGTTTATTTCAGTTAAAATTGGAAAGCCAATGAATAAAAGACATCAATATAAAAACAAATGATGAAGGAGAAAATTCAAGCTGAAGTAATCGAAGCTCGATTACAAAAACAGTTTGAAAGAACAACAACAATGCTTTGTACAGGAAGCAAAATCTTTTTAGAACGCTAAACCCTACATATCTTATTTTTTGCAACAGTTCTTCTTTTATTTATTTTGTTGTTTGTCTGCTGATCTTCAGTTCTTTTATGTAAAGCATGAAGGCTATGGTGGGAAAAGTGGAGCAAACAAAATCTTCACATGAAGCCAGGTCAAACATTTTGATTGTTACCAGTTCCTTGTGTCTTTTATAATTAAATAGGAACTTAATAGCTTAACCGGTGAAGATAAAGAGACTGTAAATCTTGTATGCACTGAGGTAACACATTTCTATCATAAAATGACATCAATGAAGTCTTTTTGTAAATCAGCCATGGAACAAAGGTGGAATTAAATAAAAGCATCAGTGACCTGCAATTTCAAAATAAAATCATTTAATAAAAGTGAAAATATAAAATAAAATAAAAAAAATTAAAATAAGTGTTTTTATGATGGATTTGTTTGTGTTACTTCTTGTAGATTTGAATTGGTGCAGTGTTGAAAGTTTGGATTTACTTCACAGCCACTGGTTGGAGGTTGTCACCGGGAGATGTCTTCCGCAAGAGATGCGTTGTGTTTATTGGAAAAACTTTCAGAGGGTCACTTCTAGGGGTTCAGATTTGGCTGTGGGTGAAAAAGGTTGTAAACCAGGGTTAAGTTGAATGTATTTTTTTTTTATTTCTATTAGAACAAAACAAAACAACTGGCATTTGTGTTCTCTATATTTTGTAGTAACAAAGTTCTGAGCAAAATATATATATATATATATATATATATATATATATATATACAGAGAGAGAGAGAGGGGGGAAGGGGAGAGAAGGGTGGAGAAAGAGAAAGAAAGATGGGAAGAAAGAGAAATAAAGGCAAAGAGGAAGAGAAAAGGGCAGGCAAAAGAGAGAAGGGGAGAGAGAAAAACAGAGGAGGAAGAAAAAGGGAGAAAAGAGAGAGAACGAGGAATGGGGAGAGAAGAGTGGACTTAGGGAGAGAGAGATGGACCAGAGAGGGATAGGAAGAGAATTAGAGGCAAAGAGGAAGAGAATGGTTTGGTTTGGTTTACAGTATATCAACTCAATGGGTTATTTAATACTGACAAGATTTGCTGGTAATGTTTTTTTTTCAAAAATGTATTGCTGGTAATATTTTTTTCTTCAGTATCTGTCTATATTTCTGAGATGAGGTATCATGTACACTATCTACATTGTTGGTACTATCATTATCTCATCTCTGTTGCCATATTTATCACAACATTTCAGCCATTGTACACTCTGGCCTTCTTCAGGTGGTTGGAATGTCAAACTGAAGCCTTTATTTTGCTCGCTATTTTAGTTCCACATGCCATGTCTAATGGATGTCAGTTATCAGTTATCTCCTGCTTAAATCTTCAAGTTCTCCACTGTCTTAACCAGGTACTGAATTCATACTCTTTGGGTCCTGTCACTGGATCTAACTAATGCCTTTATCCACTGTGCCATGTGTCCTTGAGGACATCTGTGTATGAATTTCTGGGACTTATAAACTTAATGTCTTCAGCAACCCTTTTTACCAGTGCTCATATCGCAATTTTTGTTATTACTATTGCTTTTCTCTAGCACTCCTTATTACTGGTTCCCATATTGTATTCATTTCTATGCTTGGTCAGCTCAGGAGATTTTTGTGGTTCAATTGGTTTGATTTGGTTTGTTTTACGACATATTAACCTCAATGGGTTATTTAATGCTGACAAGATTTTTAATGATGATATTTTTTTCATGAATTATTTCTGGTAATCTATTACCGGTAATAATTTACAAAAATGTATTGTTGGTATTAAAACCTATTTTTTCACATTTTGACCCCAGTTTGGAGGTTAACTATTTACCCATAGCTGGGACCCTAACAAGTGCTACCACCCCAGGTCAGTAGCAATTAAGAGGTGGTAATTCATTGCTGGTAATAATTTTTTACAAAAATGTATTGCTGGTATTAAAACCTATTTTTACATTTCTATAGTGTTTTGACATGAGTTTGGGGTTAACTATTTGTCCATAGCTGGGACCCTAACAGGTGCTACCAATTTGGATTGACCTGGGAGCACCAGCAATTAAGAGGAGGTTCCACATTCCTCAAAACTTCCTGATCAGAAGCCTTGCTGCTGGATGTAGTTTATTGTCTTACTCAGGGCGCGGATATAGTTTATTGATGCACCCAGGATGGTGAGGAAGAGAAAAGGGCAGGTAAAAGAGAGAAGGAAAGAGAGAGATGAAGGAGGAAGAAAGAAAGGAAGAGAGAGCGGAAAGAGGAGAGAAGAATAGATAGAAAGGAGTAGAGAGGAATCAGGAGGAAGAGAAAGGGGGAGATAAAAGAGAGAAAGAAAGAGAGTGATAAAGGAGGAAGAAAGAAAAAGAAAGAGAAAGAAAGAAAGGGAAGACGAGTCATTTCTCTGGAATCGAAAATAAAATTTGTGCACAAAACTACAAAACGTATTGTATTGATTATACAAACATATCAATAATAAGCATATTAATCCTTCCACTATTGTAATACTAGTATAATACTTACTGTATACTTACTCTCTCCCCCCACACACACCGTATATTAAGATAGCCTGATTCTGATTGGGTTCAGTGCCACACAAAATGTATCATCATGTCACTAGGTTCATAGGATCCCCATATGTACTGCAGCCATTTCAGTTGTGGTGAATCTAGGACAATATAGTCTAACAGAGTACATCTCTCTTCAGTCTATTTTTCTTCTCCTAGACTGGTTGCAACCTCGAGGTAAAAAAGCCCAGTCAGCCTTACTATTTAAGTCATTATTTTTATTTTATTTGGTTGAGCTAGCTCAGACATTCACGAGTCTATCACACCAATCATCACAATCTTGCATCAAGGTCAGAGGCATTCTGTGTCATAACACAACCGGTCAATGTAGGTGGTTGCTGGGCAATGAAACACATCTTGCTCAATAGCTGGGTGTCAAAAACAGTAGATCACTCATAAGTTTTTGTTTTGCTCTCCAGCAGTGTTCTGCAAAGCACATTCTGTGTTTGTGTAAGATTGTAGAAATATCAGGGATGGGTCCATAGAGCTGTGATTTAGTTGGATGTTGTTTCAAAGAGATGTCAAGTATAGCTCTTAGCCTATGAGTATAGGTTCCATCAAGCTTAGGCTCAAGGGTTTTAGTTAAAGTCTAGGAAGTGTCACCATACATTAAAACTGACTTTATAGTGGTTAGAAAGAATCACTGCTTGAGGTTGTCTGGTAGATCAGATTTCCAGATTACATCCAAGGTGGTCCAGGCTTTAAACTTTTGGCCATTAATATTAATTAGCATCCATTTTTATATAAAAAAAAAACAAAAAAAAAAACTGTCTCCAGCCTTATTTTGAAACATTTCAAATATGTGTATAGTAAATAAAGTTAAATTTTTAAATTTTAATAAGATAAAAATTAATAAAACTGTACATTTTTTTGTCCTCGATTTATGTCTGATGAGATAAGATCACTGTCTTTTTCATTAATCGTGTTGTATTTTGATATTACCATTTTATGGTAACGTAGTAAGTCCTGGTAAAAATAAAATATACAAACAAAAATAAAAAGAATTAGAATTAAAATAAGGCATTTGCACTTTGCTTTGAAACCCTAAGCTCTTTCCTCTTTTTCTATAATTCTCTCAACCTACAAGAAGGTAAACCTCAAATAAAAAAAGAGGAAGAAGAAAAGACTGAACCCAGCCAAAAAATGCCAGAAGTTTGCAGGAGCTGAGGCTATTTATTTGTGACTGAAAATATCAAAAATTAGGGAGAATCCATGTATAACTTCTGTTATAAAAAAAAAAAGATAAAAAAGAAAGGAATACTAGAAAATAAAATAATTTGTCCAATCAAAAAATTGACACAGAGATTTTTGATGTTAGCCAAAACCAATGTATGCACCAAATTCTTGAGCCTGGTCAAAAGGATATAAACCTGATACCTCTGGACTAGAGGCAGATGGCACAAGGACAGGACAACAAAAGATTGCTACCATGTAGAAACCAGCCATGTGTGATATTAATTAAATCAACAAATGTTCAATGTACTTATCTTGTTGACCAACTCCACTGATTAAAACGGAGTTGTGTGACAAGGTAGGGCTATCGAGCATTTATTGATTTATTGAATAAAAGGTATATGTAAGAAATCTTGAGAAAATACGCCCAGTAAATGCTACCAGTGATTATATAGTTTATCAAACATTATTATTTTCTGTCTAAATTCCTGGGATGAGGAGTTATCATTATTTACTCTCTCTATATGTGAACTATTGTCCTCATCTTTGTTGTTGTTATCAAGTTTTGTGTCCTCTGGCCTTCAGGAGCACATTGATCGAGGTAATTTACATAGAATTCTGAACTACAGGGTTAGACTCTTTTCATTCCACTGCCCAATCTTTTAATCCACTAGGGTAAGGATAGACAAGAGCATTGGTGACATATTAATTGTGAGTTCAATCCCTGGTCCAGGCAGTGTGTACAGGGCTAGCAATAAGATCTAGCAGAGATATCTCTAGACATGAGCAGTAGAATGAGAATTAGATTTAGTAAAGGGATTAGTTCAGAATTCCATGTAGATTACTCAAATTGACATACACCTAATGAAAACTGGATGGCACAAAAGGCAATATAATAACAACAAAGATGAGGACAACAGTCTGCATCATCTGTCTATATTTCTGAGATAAGCTATTATGTACATTATTTACATTATTCGGACTATTGTTATTTGTTGTCATATTTATCACAACTTTCGCCCATTGTACGCTCCGGCCTTCTTCAGGTGGTTGGAATGTCGAACTGAACCCTTTATTTCACTCACTGGAGTAGACAGTTCTAGATCCACGTGCCATGTTTAGTGGATGTCAGTTATCAGTTATCTTGTCAGAGTTAACTCCTTCAGTTCAATAACCCTTTTCACCAGGGTTGCATTATTCGCTGCTATAAATAGCCTTGGACTCTTCGCCTTTTTTTTTATTTTCTCTCAGGCCTGTGCTCCGACACATTTGAGGTAAATCTTTTTTTCCTCAGGCTTTCAGCTATCAACCTCAAAAATGTAGGCATGCTAAAAAGGGATAGCGTGAAAAACACACTAAGCACAATACACATGCACAACATACAGAATATTCACACACACAACACATTACATACAGAATATTCACATACACTTCATCTTTTGTACTGTTTCCATGTATTGTAACTTGTTATTAATATATATTTGTATATACATATATTATCGGTCTTGTGTTTTGTTTGCTTTTCTTTGCCTTCTTCTTTGGAGCAGGAGAATCTGAACCTTACATGCGTTTCTTCTACGTCTGACTTCACAACATCACAGCCATGACTCTCTACAATCTCCTGTTAATTTCCCTCTGAAACTTCTCCACTGCCTTAACCGGGTATTGAACTCACACTGTTTGGGTCCTGTCACTGGATCTAAGTAATGCTTTTATCCATTGTGCATCTGTGTATGAATTTCTGGGTATTATAAACCTAATGTCTTCAGCAACGATTTTTTACTAGTGCTCATGACAAATATATATATTTATTCACATTTTTATTTCTTTTAATTATTATTTATTCACATGCATGCACACACACACATGAAAATCACTTTATAAACGCAAGGTTTTTTCTTTCATTTATTATTTCAATACTTTTAATAATTTTCTCCAATTAGAATAATAAAATTTTCTATGCCTGACTACTTTCAGCAAACACCACTAACCATCTTCCAAGACTACTTTGCTGTGTCATCCATTTCATTTTTTTAAACATCATGCTTTCAAATGAAATAAGAGCCAAATGTAACACAGTGTTTAAAAATGCCTAAAATGGACTCTAGTATGGGAAATTGCATATTTCAATACCAACTGGAAAGAAAAATTACAAGAAATGTTGAAAGGAATATAAAAGAATTTTACTGATGAAAATGAAACTTTCATAAACAAAATTACTGCCTAATACACCCAATTAATATATATATATATATATATATATATATATATATATATATATATATATATATATATATGTGCGTGTGTGTGAATAAAGACAAAAGGTAAACTTTTCTTAGTTGATGCATTTCATCCTGTGATGGACTTTATCAAGGCAAATGTATGTGTGTGTGTATATATATATATATATATATATTAAGGCATTAAAAACTAGAAATGTTGTATTGCAGGCCATGATAAGTTTAAAATAAAACACACACCAGTCGACCGGGTTTCGTCCCCTCTCGTCAGAACTGTTAACGGGAATTTAGATTATGAGGAGGAAAAAAAAAAAGTCTGTCATGGGTGACATGAATGAATGGACAGGAAGGAAGGGAAATATAAAATTATACCAACCAAGCTGCTAGAAGCGCAGAACAGCAAGTCCAAGCAAACAATCTCTTTGTTTGCAAAGAGAAGGCCGCCTGGACCTGATGTAAAGCGATTCAACACCTTGAGATGGAAAAGTGAGTGCGAACTGGCCAAGACGGAAAACCAGTTCACACTGAAATCCATCGCACAAGTTGGATTCTTTATAAAATGATCCGCAATGGAAGACCCATAAGTGTTACGAATGGTATCGCCTAAAAAAAATTTTTTGTTTAGTATTATCGCAGGTACGTGTTGTTTTAATTCTCACGTCCAACCGCTGTGTCGTTCTACCTATGTAGTCGCATCCACAACTACATTTGAAATAGTAAATAACAGAGTTAATATAGTGGGGGGTAGAACATCTTTACACATAGATGGAAGTACAGACCTAGTTTGAAAAAAACAACACGAACGTTCGCTGCAAAATAACACTCACGTGAACTACATGAAATACGCTTATGAAGGATTCACTAATCCTACCCAACCACGATTAAACGAAGATAGACCGGACATTTACCAACTGAAGCAGGTTTGATTTTGTTGAACCTAAGCGGTCTCATCTCGAATAACTGATTGAACAATGTTCAACGGATAACCATTGTTCACAAAGATCTCAGTTAAACAACTGATTTCATGTTTCAAGGTGTCATCCGAACAGATCATTAACGCCCTATGTGTCAGGGTCCTAATCAAATTAATCTTTTTTTTGTTGTTTAGGACAAAAGGAGTCCCAACGGGTATATAGTCCTGTAAAGTAGACTTCCTGTACACAGAGGTAATAAACAAGGAAGGAGTTCTTTGAACAAGAACATCTAAAAGGGCAATGAACCATTGACCTCCTTATCTACTGTAAATTTAAGGGCAGGATGAACACCATTGAGTAGGGAAAAAATTGATCCACTTCCGATTCATGGCTGAACACACAAAAAGTGTCATCAACATACCGACAGTAAACCTTGGGTCGGGCAGAACTTAACAAAAGGCTTTCTTCATAAAAACCCACAAAAATATTTGCCAAAACAGGACCCAAAGGGAACCCATCGCTACACCATCGATCTGACGATACATGATATTGTCGAAACTGAAATCGACAAACATAGTGGCAAATTTCATGAGTTCAACGAACACTTCTTCAGGTATATTCGGAGGAGTCAAATCACTTTGCGATATAACATATCGCTGCAAATATCAATAGTCTCCGATAAAGGAACACAACAAGAAGAGGCTACAGATGTCAAAGGAACACATAAATCCATCAGTGGCATCACAATTCCGAATGAATTTGGAAAAAGAAAATGAATCTTTAATACAAAAGGAACTGTAATGCTGCAACACTGGTTGCAACATTATAGCAAACTTTGCTAATTTTATGCTGTGAAGACCCAATCATCGATAATATGGGTCTCAACGGGACACCCTCCTTATGAATCTTAGGTAATCCATATAGACGGGAACGAATAGAACCAGACGGTCTCAATTCCTCCGCCATTTTAGAGGAAAGAACACCACTTTTACCCATTTGACAAGACGTTTTGAAATCGAATTTCAGAAGTCAATGTAGAATCATGAGTGTCAATGGAACCAAGACGTTGAAACTTGGAAAGGTCATTCAATATAGTTAACATTTTGTTAATGTAGTCATGGCGGTCCATGAGGACAACACCAGATCCCTTATCCGGTTTAGTAATAACCAAAGAATGGTTATCCTTAAGGGATCTAATAACCTTATGGTGTTCACTTCTCCATTTCGATTCAGAGAAAGAAATGGGAGAACTAACATAAGAATGAGCCAAATCATTCAATTTAGCGTCGAAAGTCGCTGGATTTATTATCAGACACCGGTTGAAGTTTCAAGAGTTGAGCATACAATACTTCAAATTCAGAAAAATATTCTCCTACTAATAGAAGTGAAAGGAATGTTAAAATCTAGGCCTGGGCCAAGATAGCAAGCTCAATCTCTGAGGGAGAATAAGAAGACAAATTTACTACATTTTTGTAGCATTTGGTTCAACCATACAGCCAAATCTCTTGGAGATAAGTTGTTTCAACTTATTCTGAAAAACTGCTAGCCATCTTAGAACGACAACGCAGATATCAAACCAACGTAACGGGCAAAGCGGATTCTATCAAAATAGGATAAATAATTACCTGCCTCACGCCATAACAGATGATATCTTCCCTGTAGGCCCAAATCCTGGTTAGAAAATTGTAAGAGAAAATCCTTAATAAAGGCTCTCTCTACTTCCAACCAGACACCAACTTAGCCCTCCTAATCCTGTAAAAGGAAATAAAAAGACGGGCAAACCTGGTGCTGAAGACAAGAATGTAAAAAATTAGTCTTAACCTTCAATATTTCAATTTTAGACCTAATCTGTAACAATTTATTCAATTTTCTAATTGACTCAGGGGAGTACCTTTTCTTAAAATATTTAAATAGGTTAGAAACGGTAAAAAAAAGCGTATTAAGGCATTAAAAACTAGAAATGTTGTATTGCAGGCCATGATAAGTTTAAAATAAAACACACACCAGTCGACCGGTTTTCATATCTCGTCAGAACTGTTAACGGGAATTTAGATTATGAGAAAAAAAGAAAAAATCTGTCATGGGTGACATGAATGAATGGACAGGGAAGGAAGGAAAGATAAAATTATACCAATCAAGCTGCTAGAAGTTTAGAACAGCAAGTCCAAACAAACAATCTTTGTTTGCAAAGAGAAGGCCGCCTGGACCTGATGTAAAGCGATTCCAACACCTTGAGATGGAAAAGTGAGTGCGAACTGGCCAAGATAAAAACCAGTTCACCTGAAATCCATCGCAAAGTTGGATGATTTTATAAAATGATCAAAATCGAAGACCCATAAATGTTGGTAATGGTACAAAGAAAAATTTTTTTTGTTTAGTATTATTATCAAAACGTGTTGTTTAATTCTTTTAAATATATATATATACTGCATGCAATATTCTTTCATTAAGTGTCACGTGTGATGCACACTTAGATCATGTATCTTTCCAACCATAATTTGGGAGAATTCCCACAGTAGGCTGCCATTATTTTCTGTTGTAGTGATTGTCGACCAAGGCTATAGGACCCACTCTATCCTGATATTTAATCCATATCTTGGGGGAAGAGATGAATTCATACCTTTCTCAGGGATATTTGCACATAACTGAAAGTAACGAACTTGACTGCAATTGGAACTTGGCTCTCATATTTCTCATTCTGAGTCATTATCATTACACCACCCACACATCTAAGCTTACAGCACCTTGTATTCCCATGTGGTTACCTATCTAGATACTGACCAGGCTCAACATTGCTTAACTTTGCTGATTGGATAAGAGAAAACCAGTGTTTCAACATGATATAGCTGTAAGTAATATACCTAGAGAAAGGTAAACAAATATATCAATTAAAATGTTAAAAAATAACAACAAAAATGAATATATCAGACTGAATAATTCCTACACTAATTCTTTTGTCTATTTTTAATTTTGAAATCTTAATGATGAAATAAAAACTTATTTTAGCATCTTACAATAAAAATAAAATCTAACTTTTCTTTCAATAAAAGTCCCTCTGAAAAATTTGCTTTCACTTTTATGCTTATACAGACACACATATGTGGAGAGTAGCAGAAAATTTTAGAAAGAAATCAATTTACCTTGAAGTGTCAATTTCAGTTGCTAATTGTATGACGAGTCAAGATGTTGATAAGTTTCTGCCATTGAATTTCATTATATTGCTGTTTGAGGCTGTGGGCCAAGCTCAAACATGTCTGTCTATTAGAGGTTGTTGCAGTTAACAAGTTCTGGATACAGTCTCTGGAAACAGTCTTAATAATATGACTCACCAAATTGACGTCTTTTGATTCTATAACATACATAAGCACATTCTTACCACTGTTATCCTGGAAAGAATTGAAATACATCAATGAAATACGGTTAACACTTGGGGTTAATAAAAGTTATGCTTAAAAGGATTCTTGGTTTACATTTGTTCCCTGGGCATAACAAATTTTTGTGGAATGACAGAAATACAGATTGAATTAGAGAAGTAACTGAATATAATTATGCTAACCAAGTAATTAACCCCTGGCTGGGAGTTACATCCGCTCAGGAACTAACCCCTGGCTGGGAGTTACATCCGCTCAGGAACTAACCCCTGGCTGGGAGTTACATCCGCTCAGGAACTAACCCCTGGCTGGGAGTTACATCCGCTCAGGAACTAACCCCTGGCTGGGAGTTACATCCGCTCAGGAACTAACCCCTGGCTGGGAGTTACATCCGCTCAGGAACTAACCCCTGGCTGGGAGTTACATCCGCTCAGGAACTAACCCCTGGCTGGGAGAGCATCCGCCAGGAACTAACCCCTGGCTGGGAGTTACATCCGCTCAGGAACCAACCCCTGGCTGGGAGTTACATCCGCTCAGGAACCAACCCCTGGCTGGGAGTTACATCCGCTCAGGAACTAACCCCTGGCTGGGAGTTACATCCGCCCAGGAACTAACCCTGGCTGGGAGTTACATCCGCTCAGGAACCAACCCCTGGCTGGAAGTTACATCCGCTTCAGGAACTAACCCCTGGCTGGGAGTTACATCCGCCAGGAACTAACCCCTGGCTGGGAGTTACATCCGCTCAGGAACTAACCCCTGGCTGGGAGTTACATCTAACGCTCAGGAACTAACCCCTGGCTGGGAGTTACATCCGCCAGGAACTAACCCCTGGCTGGGAGTTTCCATCAGGAACATCCGCTCAGGAACTAACCCCTGGCTGGGAGTTACATCCGCTCAGGAACTAACCCCTGGCTGGGAGTTACATCCGCTCAGGAACTAACCCCTGGCTGGGAGTTACATCCGCTCAGGAACTAACCCCTGGCTGGGAGTTACATCTGCTCAGGAACTAACCCCTGGCTAGGAGTTACATCCGCTCAGGAATTAAGCCTTGATTAGGAGCAATATCTGTTCAGGAATTAACCCATGCTTAAGCCATTATTATGTGTAACATCCATTTGGGACAACATTCACTATTCTGATACCATGTCAGATTTCATACATGTCCTATAAATGGCTCAAGAAAGAGATGTTTTTTTTTTTTAATAATATTGCTCACTCAATAGAAGGCAAAGAACCGCTCAAGGCTTGAGGTTACTGAATGAGGTTGTTGTAGAGAAGTAAGAAGTGCAGATTATGAGGACATGTAGGATAGATAATGTTTGACCCTAGACTTTAAGAAATTAAGCTTGCAGTGACTGAGGAAGCATCCCCTTGGGAGTGTGTTGTACAAAGTAATAGTTCTGGTAGAAGAAGCTGAGTGGAACTTCCTCTTTAACAATGGAACATGAGAGGGATGAGAAGTCAACATGATAATCTTAGATTTCCAACTGCTGTATTTAACAATATCTCAAAAAATAAAAAAAAGAAAAAAGAAAAAAAAAGTGAAGCAAAAAAAGACCCTTTAAACAAAAATTAATCATGATGTTAAGGGGGGAAGCAATTGAATTGCATATTTTTATTTAGCAGTTATTGACAACCAGCATCCATTAGACACAAGGCAAAATGAGAGTCATGGTTGGCTGGGTCACAAGTGGTGAGTAAAGGGTGGTATATATGGCTTAATCCAGGTGATAGAATGAGTTATTGAATTTATTGCTAGGTCCGCTGCTTGGGAAGTTGGTTAATTGTGTTGTACCAGACAATTTTTCTCACTAGAAACCATCTTTCAAGTTTATAAACATATATCGAACCAGGCAGTGCATCATTTTCACACTGCCATGATATGGCTTCCCTGTGTCTTTTTCATCAATACTTTTATTGTACTTGTTCTAATGAGCTCTCCTTGGTAACTCAATGAATACTACTGCCATATCTTGTCTGGTTCTCCTGCTATATATCTCAAGATTCTTTCTTGACAAAATCCAAAGAAATGTCTGTGATGTTATCTGTACTGTGCTGGCATCTCGACTTCAGTCACTTTCCCACCACCAGGACTAGGCTTCCTTGTGTCTTTCTATAAATATTTTCATGGCAATTTTTCTAATGAACTCTCCTCCTGGGTAGATCAATTGAATGAATTTAAGTGTACTACTAGATTAGCAAGTAGGTCTCATTGTTTTACTGCTGAAATACCTAGATGTTACTGTAAGTTCTATTCTAATGGTTTCTTTTCTTGCACTTCTTGCCTGTGGAACTGCCTTTCACTTTCTTGCTTCTCTGTCAACTATGACCTCCAAGAATTTATATGCAACATCAATTGCAAACTTCTGCCTTCCTGAATTCTGTTCTCATTTCTTTCACTCTCAGTAACCTCTTGTGTCTTAGTGGCATTATCACCTTGCTTGGGGTGAAATTATTAAAAAGAAATTACTGATAATATTCAATGTGTGGAATTTTTAATAAACATGGCATTTTCAAGACCTGATTGTAATAATCTGCAATATATAAAAAAGATTTTATGAATTAATAGTAATCTTCAGTTGCAGATTTAAAAAAATATTTTCCAGTACATTTCAAATTAACTTTGCTGTATTAAGATTAAATGAAACTGCAGAAAACCTTTTTTATAATAGCATGAAGTTATATAAATTAGAAAAGTAGAAATTATTAAATAATTGTTAGGGGATGCTAATTTATTTCCCCTATAAAGGACAATAACTCAAAATATAATTGAGTTACTTCCCTTGTCTGGGAACTTCTGAGTTCAGCATGTTGACACATGTGTGAAATTCATGGCTTAAATCCAAATTAATCCATGCTGTTCTCAGGCAGTAAATGAATAAAAGTTGTTTTATTATGTATTAAAATACACTTGCCTTTTATTTTCATTTGTTTTTGTTCATCCCAACAACCTGGGATATAACAATAACATTGAAAGATTTAAAAAAAAAAAAACAAAAGGTTAAAAGGTTGTAACAAATACAAAAATCTAAAAAAAATAAATCATATTTTAGTAAAATTAATTTATTCCCCTTAAAGGAGAAATTTGGAAAAATAATTTTACAGAAATATGCATAAAAAAAAAGATCAGGTGTTGTTAGAAGGCTGGGAATCTTGTTATAACTCATTTTCCTCTTTGATACTTTGACCTTACAAATTTAAGTGTTTTATTAAATTGGCAGTTAGGTCTCATCATTCTACAGTTGAAATTGCTAGATGTAACCGTAATTTCTATGCAAAGTTTCTTCTTTCACAATTCTTGCTTGTGGAACTCTCTTCCATCTTCTTTTCCAGTCAATAACATTTTTGTTGTAAATTCTCAAGAACAAAAGAAAATGTATAAATTCACTTTCATGTTTAGATTTTATTACAATTCTAATCATCACTTCTTAAAGAAATAAACATTACTGAAGAGTAAAGGTAGTTAAAATAAAAGTGGTGTCATTGGGAAAAAAAAACATTTTGACACTCTGTTTTTTGTGGGCATGAAGGTGTATGTTTGCTGATAAATGATTAGTAAGATAAATTTAGCACTCTAGTCACTTCTGAACCCAAATAAACTCTTATTATAAGAAATCATATTTCTAAAAAGATTTTTCTGATATACTGATGTAAAAAAATGCTAATAATTCTATTGCTAAAGACACTGGAAAAATGGTCAACTTGTTCCACCACTCCAGGAAGTACTTGACTTGTTCTGCCATGCTTCATCTTTACAAGTGCTAGATTAAATCAAAAATGAAGCACTACAACCATGTCTGGGCTAGAGTTCCTCAATCTAAACTTTTCCAGCCTTGACAAATTTCAAAATCGTTTTGCTGGTCTTGTAGGGGATGACTTATTTTCTACTCTACAGCCTCTTTCCCTTCAGCCACAAAGTTGCAAGCGTATCACTACTCTATCACTATTTTGATGGCAGATATTCAAATAAACTCCACTCTTTAGTTCTAGTAGTTCAAGCCTTTAGAACTATGATTTACCATGCTACATCCACAGAGTCAAATCACCTAGATTTCCACTGTGTTCTAATTATAGGGAGCAAGTTCTACACAAGCAGTTTTTTTTTTAAATTTGAGAACTGCTACTTTATGGAACAGACACCTGTGTACATGCTTCCCTAAACATTACAATCTTCAAGTCAAGGGTTAACCATTATCTATCCTTATCTTCATAAGCTTCACTTCCTTCCATCACCTCTTATGTTCATATCACACACACCTCATTCAACTCAACCTCTATCATCAGTGGCTCTTGTGCATTGGATTAAGTGAACTTAAAAGAAAAAAAAGCATGTCTTGTCACATAACAAACCTGGAAGCTAAAGCAATTTCTTTTTAAATAGGATAGTTCTGTGTATTACGATAAACTACATCTGGTTGCAAAGCATCTGATCTGCAGATTGGAGGTTTTGAAGAATGTGGAAACACCAGTTAATTGGTGTTGTTCCAAGTCCACTCTGATCCAGGGTGGTAGCACCTGTTAGGGTCCCAGATATGGGAAAATAGTAAACTCCCCAACAAAAATAAAACACTATAAAAGTATTCATAATTACCAACAATACATTTTTAAAGCAGTATTACCAACAATACATTTTATCTGTAGTTGAAGCCATAAAATTGTGCTCAAAATATTTAGATTTCAGCATTAAATAACCCATAGAGGTGTTGATATGTTGTTAGACAAAACCAAACAACCAACATGAAAGAGCTCTTTCATGACATTAATCCATATATCATACAATTTTACAGAAATCAAACTGTATTCCAAAATATAACTTCAACAAGATTACAATATAAAACACACATATCATCACCTCTAGTAATGATGTCCACACAAATATGTATATGCAAAAGCTAAGTATCATTTACCATGTACTCAATTGTGAAAGCAGAATAAGATATATCATATTTTTATTACTTCAAAGCTCACAAGAAAATTAAGTTTTGGCATTGAATGACCCATAAGGAGTTGATATGCCATTAAACAAACAAATCAATCCACTTTAAATAGAAGTAGATAGGCTTGTTTATTACTGGTTCACACTCCTCTGTCTTTTGAACAGGAATAGAGATTTATTACTTGTTTCCTTTTTAGTATTGGGTTTTTGGTCCCTTCCCCTAATGTCTTCTTATTCACTTTCATGCTCAGTAATCCCTTGTGTCTTAGTGGCATTAACACTTTGCTTACGGTGAAATGATTAAAAAGACATTTATTAGGAACTCTTTCAAAATAGAAGTGTGCTATGAATATTAAAAAAAAACAAACAGATAAATTTTGATTTAAGTCAATGGATAAATTAAATCTGTTACTCACCTATATAAGGGGATGTGTGCCACATGTCAATTTTTTAATGATGTATTAAATAATAATTAAATAAATTTAATGATGTATTTAATAATGTATTAAATGATAATTAAATAAATTTAATGATGTATTAAATAATAATCAACTGATAATTATATATGTTACCCACCTGTATAAATGGATGTGCGCCACATGCCAATAATTTTTTAATGATGTATTCATTGTGAATTGATTGATCCAAACTAGAAGTTCCAGTTCCGTGTGCCAGAGCTGCACAGTGCAAAGCTGTTTGACCTTAAGACAAAACCATATTAAAACAAGTTAATAAGACAATCCCATAATGCAAAGAATTATATTATAGGGTTACATATTTATAAATCTACCATTCATCCATACATTGAATATTGCTGCCATATATCATCTGGTGCTTCTTCAATGTACTTACAGATTCTTGATAAAATACAAAAAAGAATCTGCAATGTTATTGGTCCTGACCTGACATCTCAGCTTCAGTCAATTTCTCACCACTGTAATGTAGCTTCCCTGTGCTGTTTCTATAAATACCTCCATAGTAATTATTCTAAAGAACTTTCCTCTAAGGTACCTAGCCTTTATGAATACAAATGCAGTACTAGCTTGGTCAAAAAGTATCATCAGTTTACAATTGAAATGACTAGATGTTTTATGCTGTTTCTTCTCTTGCACTTCTCACTTATGGTACTCTCTTCTGAACTTCTTGCTTTCCTGTCAACTTTGATCTTCAAAAATTTAAATGTAATGTCAATTGTTATCTTCTGTTTTCTTAATTCCTATACTTTTATTGTTCTCTCTCCTTAATAGTACTATAGTCCATCATATTCTCTTACACTTATTAAACCCTTGTATTTTACTGGCTTTATTACCATGCTTGATAAATATGATTTAAGGCAATAGATAAATTAAATCTGTTACCCCCAAAAATAAAGAACAAATAATAAAAAAAAGAACAAATAGGAAACGTTTATAAATTTTATGTGTTTCACTTTTATTCAAGTATCATCTGAATGTTTTTGGAAATGAATTATAGAGAGAAAGTTCCAGTATTTTTGGTTGTGTTGTTTTTCATTGGACAGGTAGACCTCCCATGTCTTTGCCTTGTGGTGTTAAAGTGTGTGTGTGTGTGTGTGTGTGTGTGTGTGTGTGTGTGTGTGTGTGTGCATGTACGTTTGGATTCTAGTGAGCATTTTCATGTTTGTAAAATTCCTGAGGAATTGCAGTGAGATGTTGGCATGTCTGTATATTTGTGTATCATATTTCTAGTTGGTCTTGTGGGATTTAGGTGATAATGTGTGTGCCTGTGTATGTTGATTGGAAGGGCTTGTTTGGTGTGTGAATGAAAGACTTTGGTTACATTGGCCGCAGGTTGGCTGATTCTTTAAGTATGGGTATTATGAAAGTCGATGATATGAAAAACTGTGTTTGGCACATGTTCATTGGTGGGAAAGTGTTTATTAGTATCCCTTCTAATTATTTTCTTCATAGTAAATCATGTTCTATTCTTATTAGGTTGTTTTTGTTTTTTTTTTAAATTAAGGTTATGGTCTGTTTTATTTCTATGCTATGTGAGTGTTCAGTAGATTGTCCAAACAGAGGTGTCTTAAAATTTATTTATATATATATATATATATATATATATATATATATATGAGAAAATGTTTTACTTATTTGATTCTTTTATTGTAATGAAAGGCCATGATAAGATGAAATGATTGAATAAAAATGATGAAAACATATCATCTCTGACTCTGAATAACTTAAGATTTAAAACTCAATTGCAAAAGGAATCAATATGCTAGAAAGATTTGAAGACCAAAGGTGGTAATGTGACTGTAAATGTTGCATAATCTATCAAATAGACTTTTATCACCAAAATATGGTTAAGGAATTATACTTGCAAGACAATATCCCAGGATTTATCAAAAGCAAGTTTATTAGAAACTACTTTGCAAAATGGAGATTATTTGTGATAAACAAAACAAAAAAAAAATATGAAGAAAAGACAATTCAAAAATGAACAGTGAAAACCATTTTCTCTGATATAATTTTTTAAATTTACTTCTTAAAAAGAAATAAGAACTGTAATAGTGAAATTAACTATTTCCTTATAAGGAAATATTTGACATTCATTGACTGAACAGTTAACATATCTGTAGATTGAAATTTATTAACTCTTTTTCTTAAAACAATTTTTTAAGAAATTAGACTTCTCATGCCCACTAAATGTTATTGCTCTTTCTAGTACTGATGGGAGTTTACTTACAAATCTTTTGTCATTTGTAGTGTGGAACTTTAATATCTTGATCATATCATTATTTTTCCTTTGAGATACATATGGCTTACAGCTACATTACATTGAAACACCAATTCCTGTATGATCACCAAAGTTAAGCAACATTGAACCTGGTCAGTATCTAAATGGGTGACCACTTTAGAATATCAGGTGCTGTAAGCTTGAATGTGCAGGTAGTGTAATGGATAATGACTTGGAATTGTTAATTGGAGAGCAGAGTTCCAATTCCATTTGGGTTTGTTATATTCACTTACGTGCAAATACTCTTAGGAAAGGTATGAATTCAACTCTTCTGACCTCACCTATGAGTTAATTAGTAATACTTGTATCACTTAAACATTATTATCTCAAAATAAATTCTTATAATCTAAAAATATTTTCTGGCTTTAAATTACCTGCAAAGCTGTAGAAAACAAATCACTCAATCAGAGATAGTTACATATGCTATCCATTTTAGTTGTTGCTGCTGTTGGAAATCTTCAAGTAATATGGCTTTTGTTATTTAGTAAAGCCCCTTGTAGTGGCAGTCAATCTGATGAAAGCTTGCCATCTTTAAGACTCAAAGCAATCATTTGCGTAAAGCCTTTTTTTTTTATTGATTTGAGAAATTAGTTGTAAATAGATGATAGTTTAAAGATTCCTGAATGAGATGGATGCCATGCATGACATCCACCTGAAAGTCAAGATTTGATAAGGATATTTAAGAAAATGATTAATGTTGATTACAATCCCCATGGGGAATTACTGCAAAACATTTGCCCTTCCCTAATTTATAGGCAGAAGCACAAAAATGAATGCTAGGATTTCTTCCTAGCCACTAAGATAGGCTGGTTCTTGATTTCATCTGACTCAATCCTAGTCTATCTTTTCATTGGACAGGTAGACCTCACATGTCTTTGCCTTGTGCTGTTAAAGTGTGTGTGTGTGTCAGAACTCTACGTTTGCTTGTCCAAATTTGCTCTTGTGTGTCGACTCCAATTCTTAGTTTGTGAGCTTTTTGCCAAATTTCTGTTGCTTTGCCTTCTTACTGTTAATTGGCCTTGTTTTTTGACCTGTTCTTTTCTTCTTATTATTTATTGCAAACTTTGTCAATTGTTTTCTGGGCAGTTTTGCCATTTATTTGCATTTGACCATGGCCACTCATTCTACAACTAAAGTTCTCTTTTTGGTTTTGTAGGATCTGACAATGCTCAACAACCGTAGACAGACATTGAAATCAAATTAGAACTAAGAAAAAACTAAGAATAATATTTATGCAAGTAGATACCTATGTAAATAATGAAGCATTATCTGTCTATATTTTTGAGATGAGGTGTAGTAATTATTTACATTATTTACACTGTTTGGACTGTTGTCTACATCTTTGTTGCCATATTTATGACCAAAACAGTTTCTTTTCTTGCAGTTCTTGCCTGTGGAACTCTCTTCTGGTTTCTTGTTTCTAAGCCACCTACAATCTTTAAAGATTTAAATGTAATGCCAATCTTCCTGAATCCTGTTTTATTGTCCTTTCTCCCCACTAAAGTTTTCTTATTGTCTTCCTCTCCCAGTAAGCCCTTGTGCCTTAGTGTTATTATCATCTTGCTTGGGGTGGGGATGATTAAAAAAAAGGTAACTGTATCCACACTAACCTTCTGAATTCTTTATATTGATATCCAAATCATTTGCTTCCAAAAGGCACTTCAAGACCAACTTGAACCCTCGTGATGCAGCATAATGGAGAGGTGCCTCCAGTTTCTGAGAAGGAGTCTACCAAACAGAGGCAGATTAATAATATAAAAAGCTTTATCAACACACATTATACAAGATCAAGTGAATAACAACCTAAAAATACATGATTTTGGTAACAGTTCAATGCTAAAATCATTCCGATAGAAGTCATTTCCTTCAAATGAATTGATCTAATTTGGACATTAATCAGACATGCAACCCTTTTCGTAAAAATTAATCTTGGTAACTCTTCTCAGTTTGTGATGATGGCTTTACGAGTAACAAAAAAATGGCAGTGACAAAACAACAAATGGAGATATGATGTGGTTGAGATTAGTAAAAGAGTTTCTCTGATTTACAAGGTATGATTATTTGCTTGATCTGTATATCAGTTGTGGGAGACTGAGAGTTTGTTCAGGGTATAATGCAAGGTAGTAGTTGAGATAGACACATGTGTGGAGAAAGTCAACATGCATGTAGTTGAGTGAAACAGACTCATGGGAGAAAAACAACATGCATTTATAGTAATCAAGAGTTAATCTATGTTGGTGATGATTTTGTTGCTGGCCGAAGGCATTGCTCTTGATGGCAGTGCCTTGGTTTCAGTTATGTAGACTTACATTCAATTAAGCTTGCTTGCAATGGGGCCCATAGCTAATGCCAGCCAAGTTGGATCTGCCCTTATAAGTGAAATTAGTGTTGGCTTTTATAGTCAGTCAGTGGCTCAGAAACGGATGCTGTGAAAACTGTGTAGGCCTTTTTTTAATTGGTTAGAAAAGGTGTTTTATGACCCTGGTATTTTGGGGTGGTATTCTAGAAGTGGATGCACAGAGATGGATTAAATTAAGGTCTGTATTTGTCACATCAGCTGTGGATATCAAAGTGAACACTTCCATTTGAGTTAAGGAATTGGAGTTGAACAAGCCAAATTTATTTAAAATTGAAATTAGTCATAGAGCAGTGTATTCTATAGAATCAGCTCAAGCAGCACGGTGACAGCTTCCATGTAGCAAAAGGTTGCTTCAAAATTAGCAATTTATGATTTTTTCATCAATAAAGGGTCAAATTTATATCCTATGACAACAGGTATAAATATGAATATCCAGGAGGTTTTGCATGTTATTCTTCACTCTGCTAACAAGTCTGAAGTAGGGGAAATTTCTTTCCAATGATCACTGACTTCAGTGGTACTAGCGGTAAGCTAGTACCACTGAAGCAAAAAGCACACATGTGCTGCTGATACAATTATAGCTACAATATATTTAATATCTTTGATACATTTATTTCTATTTTAATTATCAAAACCAGAACATAATCAGGTTAATTAGGTAGCTTAAAAATTTAATTTAATTTTGACTTATTAAGTCAGAAACAAATTAAGTCAGAAACAAATTAAGTCTAAAAAGCATTAAGTCTCCAGTTATATTCAAAAGGAAGATTTAATTTTTCTCTAAGTTGAGATTCAGTTTTTTGATTATGTTTCTAAAACTTTGTTTGGAATATGTAACAACATTTATAGCCTTGACAACCCAGATAGGTTAATTGGGACCAGAATGACAGTTTTATAATTGTTGCAAATAAACATTACATTGTTATTTAGTTGAAAGAAAGAGAGAGAAAGGCACAAAGAAAAAAAAAGACAGAAAATAAAAGAAGAGAAAGAAAAGAGAAAGAAAGAGAAAGAGAAAAGAAGACAGAATAAATAGAAAAGGAGAGAAAGACAGAGAAAAACAACAGAGAAAATAGAAAGAAAGAGAGAAAGACACAAAGTGAAAGAGAGAAAAAGGCACAGAGAGAAAAACAGAGAAAAGAAGACAAAGAAAACAGAAAGAAAAAGAGAGAGAGAAAAAAGGCACAGTGAGGAAGGCAGAGAGAGAGAGAGAGAGATAAAAGCACAGAGAGAAAAAAAGGCAAAAAGAGAAAGACTTAGAGAAAAGAAGACAAAGAAAATAAAAAGAAAGAGAGAAACAAGACAGAGAAAATAGGGAGGAGAGAGAAAAAAGCAAATTTGCCAAGAAAAATGATTTTGCAGTCAGCAACACTTCTTACTTTGCCAACATCATTTTTTCTGATGATCATTATCTTGTGGATAGTTCTATTGAAGAGATGCTTCTTTTCAATACAGATTGTACACTTGAAGAAGGCTGGAGAATATTATTATGTTAAAAATAAAATCAACAAGATTAGTATTCTGAATAATTCTAAATAGATAAAATTAATATATGAAAATTAATTCTATTAATGAAAGAGATTTTAATCTGGGCACTGCTTGGTGATCTTGCTTCCAATAGATATAAAATAATTTAAAAATTAAAACCCTTAACAATTATTTTAATAGATTTTGAAATCGTAAAGTCACTTAGCCTTCCTATTTCTGTCTAAAGTAAACAAATGACAATTTATGCAAATGTGTAAAAATGTTAGAAAGAAAACTAATGTTTAGTCAGCAACTTAAGATATTGTGAGAAAAAATGCTTTCACATTTTGCAATGCATGTCAAGGTTTATAACCCATAATAGAACAAGAAGCAGATTTCTATAAATGTTTCTAACAGAAAAGACTTATTTTCAAAGAACAATTATACAAAAAAGGCAGAAAATTGTTTTGTAATTCTGATATTTTTATTTATATATTATCAAATTTTACACTATCTTATAATTCTGCTTGTCTCTCACTTAGTTCCTTACTTAGCATGTATGTCTGTTATGCACTATCAATACCTAATACATAAAGGGCTATTCTGTTTTGATTGTGGGGAAAGACAGAAAAGACATATCAGAGATGCTACTTGGTTTCAGTGAGAAAAATAAGAAAGAAAAATGTCCTACCAATATTTCATGAATAAAATGAACTGTTCCATTTTGATCATAAGGTAAGATGGAAAAGACATTGTTTGATTTCAGTGAAAGAAAGAAAGAAAGAAAACAATATTAAAACAGGAAATCAATGAAATTTTCATAGGTACTACCAGTAATATTAAATATTCAACTGATTATCAACACTCAACAACCACCAGATAATCAAATGGCATTGAACCATTAAAAAAAAGAAAGAAACCTACCATTGCCAAATGGTTCACTTCAGCACCATGTTTAATTAACTGGTGAACTATAGCAGGTATGTTCTCTTGCACAGCCAGGTGGAGAGCAGTCTGTAAGAAAAGAATTAAAAAGAAAGATTTTTTTTTTCAAAAATCAGTAGATGCAGCTATTGATTCAATATAGTTGTTTCACTTCAAGTCAGTTGAAAATGTGAGGCCAAGAAGGGGAAGTGAGATATTCTCCTGGAGTTGAGCATTGCTGATGGTGGGCAGGGAACTTTCTCTATGGTGGTTAAATGAGAGCAGTTTAGTTTTGGAGGCATTAAAATTCACCAGCCATTCCCTGCTTCACTTAAACACTAATTGGAGGTGCTTTTCAAGAGCAGCAGCCAGGTTAACTTTGTCAACTCTGATGGATTTGCTATTGAGACAGGAGTAAATTGTAATCTGCATAAAATGCCTACTTGGGAACTGATTGAAGAAGATCAGAAACAGCATTACAAACTTCTAAAGAAGATGTTAAAAAAATTTTCACTTGAAACATGGTCACAACAAAAAGAATGTATAAACTTTTGAAAAGAGAATATAAGGTAATTTTAAAGTTTTTTTAATCAAATTTTCTTGTTTGTTAGTTGTGTACCATAAGGTGTGGTTTGATTTGGTTTGGTTTGTTTTATGGTTTATCAACCTCAATTGGTTATTTAATGCTGACAAGATTTTTATTGCTGGTAATATTTTTTTCAAAAAGTAATAAGTTTTCCTTCAAAAATTCATTGCTGGTAATAATTTTTTACAAAAATATATTGCAGGCATTAAAACCTATTTGTATGCTTTCATAGTGTTTTGATCCCAGTTTGGGGTTAACTATTTGCTCATAGCTGTGATCCTAACAAGTGCTACCAGTTTGGGTTAGGGTGGACCTGGGAAAACCAGCAATTAAGAGGAGGTTCCATGCTCCTCAAAACCTCCTGATCAGAGGCCTTGCTGTCAGATGTAGTTTATCATCATACCCAGGATGGTGTACCATAAAGGAAACCTGTTTCTTGGCTTCAAATTTAAAATTCATAAAAAGAGAAAAAAAGAGAAAAATAAAGAAGAAATCAATCAGAACATACCTGGGATTTTTCATTTTTTGCATTTATAATGTCAAGATTGTCTGAATTGAAGTTGCTAAGCCTTTTTAACAAAGCAAATACATATTCATTATCCTTTGTTCTAACAGCTTTATGCAGGCAACTGAAAAAATAAAATTCATACAATGCTAAGTGATACAATATAAAATGAAGGCTTGAATACAGTAACTACAAAAAATGACAAAGATAAAGAAATTTGGATATCATTAACATTATTTACAATTGAAAGAATAACCTTACCATTATTACTTTTATCACAATGCTTTGACTATTGTGCCCCCTGGCCTTTTTCAGGAGTCTATCAATAGGTAAACTTCAGGGAATATTGAACTGAGCCCTTTAATTAGTAGATAGTTTTCTGGGCTGGAGATGCCTAATCCTCACTTTGCAGCCTTGATAGAGTTCAAAATGGTTTACACAGTCCTGTGGAGGAAGAGTTATTTTTCACTCTGCAGCCTCTTTCCCCACAGATACAAACTTATTGCTACTCTATTGCCATTTCCATAGTAAATGTTCAGAAATTACATTCCTCAAAATACTTACTTCTTTTATGATTAAATCTTTTTTAAACAATGTTTTGCTCACTTCAACATCTGTCTAAATTTTGTACAAATCTTTGAGAAAAGTCCTTGCTAGACTGTGCTTTTTCCACTGCCCATGTCTACAAATATCTCTCTTTAATCTACTAAGTTACTGTCCTAGTGAATTAAAGCATTAAGCACTGGTTTGTGAATTTGGTGGCAGTAATTGTGAGTTCAGTCCCTAGGTTTGGCAGCATGTATTTGAACTCTGTGGAAAGAGAGTGAGCAGTAACTGAGCAATACTAAAAATAAGAACTAGACAAAATATCCTAGATATGGGAAGTGGAATGAGAACAGTCTATCCCAATAGATTAAATAAAGGGTTAGTTTTTTGTCTATATTTCTGAGATGAGGTATTATATACACTATTTACATTATTTGAACTATTGTCTTCATCTTATTTGTCACACTCCACTGTGCCATGTGTCCTCAAGGACACAGCAGATAAAGGTGTTAGATCCAGTGACAGGACCTAAAGAGTGTGAGTTCAATACCTGGTTAAGGTGGTCGAGAACTTAGAGAGAGGAATTAACAACTGATAACTGACATCCATTAGACATGGCACATGGAACTAGAACAGTCTACCCCAGTGAGCAAAATAAAGGGTTCAGTTCGACATTCCAGCCACCTGAAGAAGGCCAGAGTGTACAACGGCTGAAACGTTGTGATAATATGGCAACAAAAATGAGGACAATAGTCCAAATAATGTAAATAGGTTAGTTTTTGTTATTTTTAAATAAGTTTCACACATTACTATTTGAAAAAAAAAAAAATACATGTAACTCATTGAAATAATTACAAAAAAACAAAACAAAAAAAAAAAACAAAACAAAAAAAAACAAGAATACCAAAATTAGCAATTAAAATAAATTTTAAAAAAATATTTTAGCAGCTGTATGATGGTGTATTGATATGATTCTTGTCTATTCAACACCAGGCTAAAGGTCAAAATCAGAGTAAGTTTTTCTTAATTTTTATATACCTGTTTGCATTGGCAGGCCAAAACTAACAAATACAAGTTATATTGGCTTTAATAAGATGATACTTTATATGAAATGTTCAAAATGTTCTCTTTCTCAAGAAAAGTATAGTTCACAATGCTGAGAGAACAGGTTGCAAACATCAGTTTATGGGTTTCATATAATTGTGACAATTCTTCTTGATTGTCATTTCTAGAGAAGAATTTACAAAATTTGCATTTGGAATCCCTTTAAAACACTTCTTTATATACAAGGCTCAAAGTAGCGAATTATTGCTAAAATGGTTATGATTAATGAGATGCGATATGAGTGAAAGAGGAGACTGCAGGAAGTCAAGATTTATTTCCTGAAGATATTTATTTTAAATCCAAAAATTTTAACTGTTCATTAGAGAAAAATAAAAACAACTTACGATTCATTGTTCTCAAACTCTAAAAGTTGTTCATCTGTGAAACTTGCTGCTTTTTGTTTTGCTTTCTTTCGAAAATTGGCTGAAAAAAACAAAAAACATAAAAAACAAACTTAAATGTTTTAAATATAATATTATAATAGTTTTCTTCCATGACATATAGTGCAAAAAATTAGAGACAACTTCCTAATAATGTGTTGAGTGTTCTTTCATCTGAATAACAATGACTAAGCATTATTTTTTTATTAAAAAAAATGAAAGATATAGGAACAGAGATTTTAAATTTTTTTTTTTTAATGGATAAATTTGAACTAATTTCCAAACAATTTAGAGTATTTTGAATTTATCATCTAGCTGGCTATTTCTGTTGAAAATTAAAAAACCAATAAATATAATTAAAATTTTTTCAGCTGTGGTGATCTAGGATAACAAAGCAGCAGCAAGTAAGAATTTTCCTTCTCCACCATTTTGTTTTTTTAGGATGCTTTGCTAGTGAATTTGAATAATAGAATAATTGGATACCTATTTAAAAATGTAATTTTTACAAGTTTGCCTTTTACAACATTTAACCAATTTGAATAGTGAAAATTAAATCCATTATTGTTTTCCCCCATAAAAATTCTTTGTGCCACAAGGAAATAAATTGGATGAGTTCCAAAATTTATTAAAAAATTTTAGTTGAAGTATTTCATGTCCCAACACCAAAAAAAACATTAAACATTTTTTTTTTTTTTATAGACAAATTATTTAATTTAGATAAATAAGTTGACCCCCAAATTATATTAGCTCAGGGACCTTAAAAAAAAAAATCCTGGCCAATTGAAATAATGGCTTGAGTTTACAAGATGTTTTAATATATATTCTATTTAGACACATTTCCAGAGACATCAATAAATGAATTTTGTTTTCTTTTATTTCAAGTAAAAAAAAAAAATATTTGATGAGGATTAAATCTGTCATGTTTGGTGAGGAAATCTTGTACCTGAGTCAGTCAAATTTTCCTTGAATGACATTTTTGCCACCTGAACATGAAAGAGGAGGATCTTGTTAACACAAACTATCACAGTCACAGCTGGGAAGCAAGTGCTGTTGTCTATTTTTTGGTGGGTGGGAGGCATTTCAATTTATATGACTAACTCAATGCAAATGAGGATAAAGTGCTAACAGGATATCAGATTGACTTAATTTCTGCAGGGAAAAAAATCCCCCATCAGTGAAGAGAAGCTATTTAGCTTAAGGTAATTTCAATTTTTTTCTTTTTCTCCCTCAAAATGGTAAATTAGGTTATTGATGAAATTTTTGAGAGTAATTAATTAATTTTTTTTTTTTTCATTTGTTTTTTTGTTTTTAAACTTTTTTTTATTTATTTTTCCCTTTTTTCCCTCTTTCATGAAATGCATTCTGTCCCAATGATTCTTTTTATTTGATAGTTTATAAGAAACCCGGTCCTAATTTGTTAACAAAAAAAAAAAAAACAGAAAAATTAAAATTGAATATTTTTGACTAGATCCATTAGGGAATTAATATTCAGTATTCTAAACGATGTTTTGACATATCTTTTATTCAATAACCTATAAAAACTGTATTTTCAATTTTTTTTTTAGATTAGTCATTGGGACTTATACTATCAAAAAAAACTTAATGTGATAGGGTATTAACAAGTTTGATGCATTGTCAGGGAAAAACCTGTTATCTGTTGATAAAATCCTACCCTCTGTTTTGTGTCGTCCTTTTTGTGTTATCTGTAATAGGAGTATGAAAGTCCCTAAAAACATATTGGTCAACTTCCTCCCCTTCTATTGGACATGATAGATTATTACACCTTGTTTTTTGTCTAGGAAGGGGTTCCGGTCACTGTTTTTCTCTCCGGCCTCTGTATTAGTGCAGGTCTGTTTCTCCAATGATGCGTGCAATTTGTGGCAACATTCTTTCATTCTGAGGGTACATTGACAGTTCTTGTTTGCTGTTTCTGACTGGTAGTTAGAATTTATAAAACTCTTTGCAAGTTTTCGCCTTGAGCGGCTTTCTGATATGTTTAAGAATTTGTATAATAATGGTGTTTGTAGATGCCATGTCAAGGCATGGAAAGGTGTCCATGCATCAAAATTGTGGTGGGCAGCCCTAAGGCCATATAATGACGCGGAATTTTATATTTAACTCCTTTTGCCCGCCACGGTCAAAACTGTCTGTTTTCTCTTACCTGGGCCTTCTCATCTTTGCAAATCAAATCCAACATGAGTTACAAAATAAAATTAGTATTATTAAACCAGCCTCTCAGAAACCACCTTTAAACCCCTCAATATATATTTATTATCCAACATCCGGGGCATTAGGACAAAAACAAAACTTTTACAAAAAAAAACTTTCCTTGAATGATGTCCCCTGGGATGGAGTCATTGCTTTTATAAAATATGTCCAAGAATGTAAAATTTATATTTGAGGTCTCTTCCTGGGTTAAAGCTGGAATCGACGCTTTCATCCCATCAAGGAAATATAGGGTTAAGTTATTATAAATGCAATTGGTTTGAAACATTGCTTGCTCAGCCGCCATCGCCCATAGGAACCAAATTTTTCAATTTATTCGTAAATGACATGTCTGACTGCAATAGAAAAATCTCTTTGCCTCCATTAAATAACGATTGTAATTATGTCATAAATGATGCTATTTCACTATTGCGGCTCGAATGAAGGAACGTATTGCATCATCTCGGAAAATTTGGCTCCAAAAATTATTGGCGTCTCTGCAAGAGTGTATTGAATAATTTGCAAACCATCTATACCTCCTTTATTCAACCAGTTCGAAGTCTTGACCTCCTCTACCGACAAGGCTGAATGCTTTGCTCGGAAATTTTCATTCAACTCGACGCTCGACTCTTCCGGTGTACCCATACCCGACTTCCCTCTTAGAACTGAGGCCATATTAAAATGGGTTAAACATAACCCCAACTTTGGTACTGGGCGTTATCTCCAATTTAGATCCCAATTTTTAGTGGTGGAGATGGGATACCAGCCATTGTCTTAAAGAAATGCGCTGCCTGAACTGGCGCCCTGCCCTTATATTAAACTATACAACTACTGCCTCAAGGAATCTTGTTTTCCTGACTGCTGGAAGTCCTCTTCGATCGTTCCTGTCTTCAAGAACTCCGGCGACCCCTCTGACCCTTCCAACTACCATCCTATCAGTCTCCTTCCCTCTTCAGCAAAATCTTTGAAGCTCTAATCAATACCGGGGTGGTTAACCACCTCACATCCCATAATCTGCTCTCAGACAAGCAATATGGTTTCCGCTTTGCCAGATCTACAGCCGATGTGCTCACGGCCATCACTGAAACAGTCTACCGAACTCTCAAAATAACGGGGAAGCCCCAGCCGTGGCACTAGATATCTCCAAAGCATTTGATAGGGTTTGGCATGCGGCCTTCTCTTCAGCAAGATCCAGGGTTATGGCATTACGGGTCGATTATACAAAACCTAATACAATCATTCCTGTCAAACCGTGAATTGAAGGTCGTTCTCAACGGATTCTCCTCCAGTTCCTATCCCACGAACGCAGGTGTTCCTCAAGGCTCCATCCTAGGCCCCACTCTATTCCTTATCTATATAAATGACCTTCCTGACTATGAATAAATTCTCAAGTTGGCATAAACGCGGATGACACCACAATTTATTCCTGCCTCAAAAACAAATCTAGTCTCGCTGACAAAACTCACCTGGCCGTGCGTCTCGAAAAGGACCTCCAATCGATTGTGAACTGGGGCATGAATTGGCTGGTCAACTTCAATGCTTCAAAAACAAAACTGCTCTCTATTAATCACCACAGAGATCCTTCCCTTCCCTCCATTAGAATGTCTGACGCTCAACTTCTCGAGAGCAACTCTCTGCGGCTGCTCGGTCTCACGTTGACTGCTGACCTGAGATGGAATAAATACATTGAGTCAATTGCTTCGTCCACTGCAAGGAAAGTTGGCTCCCTGAGCCGCGCCAGGAAATTTTTCTCCCTGAATCGATCCTCCAGATATACAAATCAACAATTCGCCCTTGCATGGAGTATTGCTGCCATATATGGTCTGGTGCCCCTTCTGTTTGCCTCGGGGTTCTTGATAGGCTCCAGAGGCGGATATGCAATATGGTTGGCCCTGCCCTGGCATCTCGTCTACAGTCACTTTCTCACAGACGCGCCGTCGCCTCCTCCCTCTGTCTGTTCTACAAATACTTTCATGGTAATTTCTCCGAGGAGCTGCATTCGCTGGTTCCCAGACTTCATGAGTTCAAGCGCCCTACGAGGCTGGCATTCCGCTCTCACCCCTTCACTGTCGAAACTCCTAAATGTAGCCATCTCTTCTACTCTAATAGCTTCATGTCTCGCACCTCTCGCCTGTGGAACTCCCTTCCTTATTCCAGTTTCCCTGAGTGCTATAATCTCCAGCTATTCAAATGTAATGTCAATCGACATCTCCAGTTGCCTTGATCTATCCACTATCTTCATCCTTTCTTCTATTCCTATCTGATCTTGCCTAAATTTTCTGTAACCCCTTGCGTCCTAGTGGCTTCCCCGCCTTGCTTGGGGTGAAATGCTTAAAAAAAAAAAAAAAAAAAAAAAAATTGACACTGTTGATTGACAAAGAATAATTTTATATTAAAAGACTAAAACAAAAGAATGTGAATCTTCTAAATGCAATGTTTTTCATTTACCATTTCAAACAAATTACAGGTTACTTTTTTTAAATATAAAAAACATTCTTAGTTTACCAATCAATATAAGTGACAAAATCCTTTTTATAGGCTTTGTTGTTTATTTATTCAAATTTGTTTAAATAAGGCACTGACAGTTATTTGTATCATGTGTCAATAATTGTAAATAAAATGATGCACTAAAATAAGTAACCAAGAAATTGTTTTTAAGTTCTATGAAAATTATTAAAATTATTATTAAATTATTAAAATTCTAAATGTAGCTTTCTAAAAGCATAAACAATTGTCAAGGGATTTGATATGAAGGGAATCAATATATTAATAGTGGTGTCAAACATAAAAGCATCCTTTGACAGACCTTTTTTTTTGTGGGTTATATTTATTAAATAT